ATTTATTTATTTATTTATTTATTTATTTATTTATTTATTTATTTATTTATTTATTTATTTATTTATTTATTTATTTATTTATTTATTTATTTATTTATTTATTTATTTATTTATTTATTTATTTATTTATTTCGTGTTACAATATGTCATTCACGGTCTCTGTGTTTTTTATCTACTGATATCACTGTCTTTTTTCAGCGGCGGTGCTATGTGGAGATGGGAAGATGGTGATTGCAAGATGGGAAGAAACTTCATCTGTCAGTTCTGTGAGTACAATAAGATTTGCCACAAAATAATACCATAACATGCGTACAATTTGTTCAAAGGTTAATTTTTTTAAATATATCATTTTTATCTCTTTTTACCCCAGATGGCAATATTCATCATAATGAACCCGAGTCTGGAGTGGACGAAACCACAGAAACGGAGACAGTGTATATTCAATTATTGTACAACTATGGGTTCTCGTGGTATGAATCAGAAACCGCGTGCAGGCAGAACGGCGGCCATCTTGTTCGAATTCGTGACCATCATTTCCAAGAGCAATTGATAGAGTTTATTTATTCGCAAGGAAATATGCAAGGTACTGTTGATGAGATTATATAACGTAGTGTAACTCACATTGATTGTTGTTATTTCCACCTTATGCTTGTATCGGCGACATTAACAGTTGTTACGGTTGTTATGGTTACAATATACACCGTCCACTTCTAGGTAACTACTGGATCGATGTTAACGACATTGACAACGAAGGTACATATCTACAGACAGATGGCAATAAGTCTCCTGTTCAATTCTGGGCTCAGATTAGTGGTGAAGAACAGCCAGACGATGTTTTTCATTCTCAGAATTGCGTCTTTCTGAGGTATGCACGTGCAATATATAACAATTAAAACTACTGGTTATATTAGCTTATTTATATTATCATGTCAAACATAATTGTATGCAGTATCGGGATTATATGAGTCCCTTACATATTTAGTCTAATAGCAAAACAGTGTTACTTGGTTTAGTGTTGGTTCATCTATGTATGGCACGAAACGTTTGTGAGAGATTTTTTGCGCGATGAGTGTAATATGGGTAGACGGGGAATATCATTAATATGGTTTAATACCAACACCGTGACCGAAACATATCTTTGAGAGTATTGGATGCGTACGCCACACTACTAAAATACATCGTTCCTTTTTGTTCCAGGGAAAATGACGGTTATATGTGGCATGATGGTCCTTGTTCCCAGGGAATGAACTTCATTTGCCAATACAGTAAGTTGAGGAAATGTCCGACGAAAGGCGACACTCTTTTATCGTACTGTGAATCATGGTAATATACAACATAGACCTACGTAGGTCCATGCACAGTCCATCTATCTGATTCATGTATACAGTAACACCACGATCCATGTGACTCAAATGTAATTGTGACTGCGTTATTTTCCAGGCAGTGAACCTGCTCAGTTTCCCGATCAGATGTCTCCTTTGCACCACGTTCGTGAAGACATCATGTACACATTCATATTGGACTCTCTAAACCATAACGATGCTCGAATGCAGTGCGCTGATAAATACAATGGACAACTCGCCATGATTCTCAGTGGATACGTGGAACAACAACTTGTCCAATTCATAGAACAGCAGAACATGTGGGGTACGAACATAATTACTTACATTACACTGAAAGTTCTTATAGCCACATGAAATTGGTCGATGGTGATTTCCCGTTCACTGTGTGATCTCGCGTGATTTGATTTTGAACTTGAAATTCTTTTTTTTGTAGTTCAAAGTCGAAATGCCGACTTTTTGGACAGAGGAAAATATGGTATTGAGACAAACTTACTTCATCAAAATGTAATGTTTTCTCATACTAAACGGAAAATTGTCTATTAAATATTATCGTGTTATTTAGCTAATAATTTATATCACATGCGTATTTGAATGTTCGGATTAAACATCCCAATCACAGAACAGTTGTGATGATTGATGTCAACGTTTAATAAATCCACAATATTTAAAATTAATCAATCCACTCGGAAAATTAATAAATTTTGTTTTGCCAAACCTGTAATAATTGTTAATCAAGGTAAAACATAGTCACAATGGTCTTCGTGACATCAAATGGATAATTTGTCACGTATATTTATGTGTACTACTCGTTTGGTATTAAAAAAACATTACATGGATTACAAATACAAGAAATTTGACAAAAACGGGTCTCATGTCCCTTAAAGGGCGGTGGTCGTCACGCCGCGCATGTGCGACATTTGTGTTGATAAACATTGATATTCCCATAATAAAACCACGAGCATGAGTTTTGACCTGGGCGCAATTACCGCCGGCAAATCTTTCGATATCTTACAGTCATCCAACAAATTACCAAATTACAGCTTGGTAACTTCTCAGTTTGTTTTCGTTGGTCAACGCAAGTCGCCACCTATGTTATATATGAGACCCATATTTCGCGCATGCGTGGAGCGACGACCACCACCCCTTAACACTGCGGAAATGCTATATAAATGTAACTTGTCAAAAATATGTTATATTTCAGGGGAGTATATATTCGACGCTACCAGAGTAAATGGACGTTGGCAATATTCGGATGGATCTGCCCTTCCTTATATGAATTGGCAAAACGATGACCTACCAGACGGGGACACACCCATGTGTGCTAAATTACATTAGTAAGATAACGCAATTTTTTGGTGATTATTTCGTGATTCTGTCTCCATTCTACTTCGTATCTGTTGTTCTGCCCTATGTCGTTTACGACAATTCATTTGTGCCATTACAGTGAAACAGTCAATGACTATTACTGGTTACCAGAAGACTGTACTGCCATGGCTAACTATGTGTGTGAATATGGTAAGAAACTTTACGTATGGATGGATGGTTGAATATTCATAGAATCATACCCGTTAAGAAATTAATCTTAAGATTAATCAGATTGGTGTATGTCGAGTGCCACATATAAGTCACGATGTAGCCTTTTTTAGTACATATGTATATGCCTAGTATGCCTTGAGGTGCATAATATTATTGTTTATTTGATTTGTCCGGGTTTTTGTCTGCGTTTACTGTATTGTATGATGGATAATATTTGGTAATTGTTGTCCTTGGTAAACTATTCAAATTGCTAGACGTTTCGGGCAATTACTTTTCTTCGCATGGCTTTGACTTTATATTGTTATATGCGGTCCGATTTTTTATGGCATATAATAAAACTCAATAGATATCAACTGCAATAGATATCAGCAATATCTTCTTCGAAAATGGCAAAGAACACTTAAAAATCTTCTTCAGAACCTGGTCATTTTTTTTTAAATATAGGTGTGAACACTATAAAGATGGAAAATGCTATTATAGTGGACCAGCCACGTGGTTTGACCGTCATTTTGAATTTTCATAAAAAATGGCATTTGTTTCTCATTTGTTTCTGAACTTAATATTTGGCCTGTGGCGTGTATAGCTAAATCTTTTTACGACAAAAATAAAATAAATTTCGATTTGTCATAGGGTTTGCTCGACATCTTGGATTTTTGACAAAAGTGACCAAAGGTTTTGAGCGTTTGTTTCTCACGATGAATGATTTATGGCCATAGCTTTTTAGAAACAAAAAAAATAATTGACGAGTCACATGGTTTGGCCGCCATCTTGGATTCTGAAAATATTGGCCGTAAATTGAATCGTTTGTGACGCATGAATGCTTTTAAGTACTATGTTGACCATTCAAACTTGAACCTGACAAAGCTGCTGTACAATACTGTCAACATATTTTAATAAGATTGAAGGCTTTCCTAAGTTTTGTTATGGAGCTAGCTAACTAATATGTCTAGTTCATGCCACCAAATACACGTCATGTCGAACCAAGATGTTTTCTGGGCAATAGATTTAAATATATATATATATAATCAAACATTTGTGTATGTAAATTCTTAAAGGGATATTTTTTGCTCTGCCCAGCGTTTTGAAACGCCTTCTATGTCTTTATGGAGTGATAAATTACGTCATGCCTGTAGTGTATATAAAATACTGCCTGGGACAGATACTAAATGAGTCACACGGAATTGTCCTGCTTTGGGACGATTGAATAACGAATTATTGCAAGTTATAATCGGATTTGTTGTCTAATTCAATACTGTCGCTGTAAACCGGTGTAAGTCAAATACAAATAGTTTGCTGCAAATTTATTTTGCAATTTTCACTTTCCATAATTTTGGGGGATTCTTAAATTTGCTTTGTTATACCCATAACGTCCACTCGAAACACTGTAGTACACAATCAGACAACGTTGGTACTTGGTCGCATACCTATGTTTCCTGTATTAATATGATGTCAAAACACGTAGATTAAACTAAATTACATTGTAATACTCCTCTATCTAAATCTTACTAATTAATATTAAGTGACATTGACATTGCATTTATACTGTGTATGTTGCACACATTCAACTTCTAGACCAAGGTGCTGCTGATGGAGGAGATAACAGCGCACATGAGGAAATTGAGGTTCTATACGCTAATCTTGATTTCAAAATAAGTCACGAAGAAGCCACTTATATATGTGCCAGCTACAGTGCAGAACTAGGTTCCATCAACAGTGAGAAAATTCTAAAGATAATATCAGATGCATTTCATGATTTCACCGGTAAGTCTCGTACCTAACGATGCTTACACACGCCATGCCACGTGTTTGCGTCTTGAAATCGTCAGTTATTCATTCTCAGCACACGATTCAAATAACTGGTACCCGTCATGCAAACAAATATATCTCGACAGGTAACTTATGGATCGGTGCACACCGTGATTACGATGGAACGTGGAAATGGGTTGATGGAACTTTGGTCACGTGGTTAACTTTTATGAACCCGGCCGACCCAGGTGACTGTGCTGTTCTCAGGTTAGTATCATGATGAAACAACGGTGACTATTCAGTTTTATGTTATTTATGAATTCTTAAGTGTCGCTGTTATAGTAGCAAATAAAACGTACGTCTGCTGTACCATCTTACTTGTAATCCCTCTAATTTATAATGGTTGTGCAGTACTGACACAGAGATTGTAACAATACAATCCCGGTTTTGACATTTTTGTTGAAACAAATTAGCTATGTAGAGGAGTAACAATTCATGTGAGCCCTTTCTCAATATACAAAACATTTGTATGATGATCACATGTGTTATCTTGATGAGTATTTACAATGAGACAGAAAGTCTTATACAGTTTGACACTAATTGGCAGTGAATCAGCATAAGGAATTACACACAACGTTACATTAGGAGAAATGTCTGAATTTATTATCCCTCTTCTACAGGGGCTGTGCAGACGATGTCTTGTTGGACATACTGCAAAATAACAAACGTGAAGTAAAGATGCGTCACGTATATATAAAATGTGCCTTCTGTTGTTGCGTTAGTTCAATTATTCGTGTATAGAATATCAAACCGTGTATATTTTGAACCTATTTCTCAGTTCAATGTATTGAATAAAACATATAACGGTTTATGTGTTGCAGCGCCACCGACGGTTTCCAGGGGAAAATTGTAGATTGTGTGAGGTACACAACCAGTGGCATTATCTGCACAGCGCGTAAGTAGAACTGATAATATATCTCACTGATTATATCAAACATTTTCAACTTTACAACAATTATTTGTTCCCACTTCTTGTTAAACTTATTTCTATTTGTCTTGCAGAGCCGACACTAAAGTAAATGAATACTAATGAGGTAATAATTACATATGTAAAATAGTGAATGTCTGTTCAAGTTACCCGGATGTTAAGTTCGTTAGGCAAACCTGCCACCGAGATCCATTTAATATTTGAAATATTTATATATTATAATAACAATATTGGAGAAACCATAGACAATGATGGAAACAATGAGCATGAGGACACCATTACCAATATATATATACTGTTACGCAATAAAACTGGAATCGTTAAAACTATTATTTTTTGCTTACAGATTATGGAAGGATTTTTAGATGAATACTATTTATTTCCAGGTCTCTATTTTATTCGAATTTATTTAATTGTAACATATCTTAAACATAGCCTGGCTGTTACAGTTAACTGGTATATAAGGTTTGATTTAAAACATACTTACATCAAAGTGCTTCCTTTCAATTCAAATTGTAGATATTAAACCTGTCTAAAAGCAGTCCATGTGCTTGTCTTATTCAACATAATATAATGCTAAATTGGCCTTCGTCTCTTCGATTTGTTCTGACGTCATTAAATCTTGTCCTTGGTCTAACATCCGGGTCATGGTTGATGTTCATATTGATTTGTAGGTCGGGTAATGTACGCATGCGTGTAATTTATAGATGGGATAATCTTGTGGGTCAATAACTATAGCTCATCGTACAAGTAGCCGTGCTTGTTCAAGTGTAACATTTGCAAAATACTGAGCACAAGTGTGATTGTTACACTTCAATTGTTGAAACAACACGGCTACGAGGTGTGATTAACGACTTATACCACGACAATCCGATGAAAACGCGAAGACAAATTGTCTACTTTGTATGGATCTACCAATCAAATTACTTATAGAGTAGAGTTTAGAGGTACTACGTACCAATACGAAATTCGTGGTTCTAAACCAATTGGTCATCTTTTTAAATAATTGACAAGTTTACATGTAAAGTTCAGAAATGTCAGACATTAACAGTTCTACGAATTTACAAACCAAAATTGTAGTTCTTATTAATATGTATATGAGAAAAGAACTGTAGCGATAACTAATTTGCATATGAAAACAACTGTGGTCACGGTGATTACGCATCTGCTTATAGAAAAAAGCTGTGGGTGATTACAAATCTTCATAAAAACATGTTACGACAATTTATCACGTGGCCAAGAGTGGTATAATATGAGAAATACAAAAAAGTACACTATGATATAAATTATTTTACAAGTATAACAGTAATATATTTAGATGTTGTTTCAGTATTATTAAAATGTCTCAATCATAAATTGTGTCTGATACTACCCACACGTGAATTGAATGGAGTAACAACAATTGCCTGCGTCGTGTGTGAGACAAGGAATGGGGTAACCTCAAAATACATACCAATGGGGATAGGGTTCCCGTCAATCAATCGTTAATACTTGGGTAACACTTGTTAATACTTTGCTTCAACATATGTGTTACGAGGTGGGCATCTCATCCATAAACGCTTGAAGCGGTGGGATTTAATCTACGTAGGTGACAATGACTGTGAGTGTAGGCTTATTCCATATGTGTCAAGGGATGGAGATTTTCTCTAGATATAATTCAAAGGGTGGGGCTTTTTCTATATATGTTTCAATGTTGAGTGCTATATATAGGGGTAGTGGTTGGGAGGGGGGCGTTGATACAAGTATCAAAGGTGGGGTATGGGTTTATATACACGTCATCAGCATTTGTTTAGAGAGAGATATGTGAAATAAACGCAGTGGATATTTCATTTTTTTATTTGAGCATTAACAATGCAACAACATAATATAATTAAAATTCTACTTGAAAGTACAAAAATAACTCTGGCCAGTTGTTCCATTTTTCGCAGATTAATATGTCACTGACAGCAAATGAAACAAATATTGGAATAATATCACGGAATCTTCTACGTGAAAAATGTACAAGTTGAACGAAAAAGACATATCAAAGATAGTTCAGCCCACGTGTTAATTAATATAATTTATCACATGAAGTCTAAAATAAATTAGGACACGCCACGTGGTCTAGTTCGTGTGCTCAGACTCGCCACGGGACAGTGGAACAACGATATATACATCATCACCATATACGTTATACATGAGCTTCGAATTATTTTAATTCATGGTAATATTTCAGACTAAAATGCAATTAATGTTCGCCCAATAGGTTTGTTTTGATAGAGGTGATCAACACCTAAATGAAAAAGAGAACACGTTTCACCCAAGTATAAGACATGTCCCATAGAAAAAACAAACAAACAAAAAAACATAAATAACAAGAATAAACAATATACACTTTAAATCGGTCAAGTTTTAATTGATCAACTGTATCTAAAATATCTTGCCATCCCGAATGCGAAACTATTTTATATTAAGACAAGATAAATAATGAAACAATAAATTAGATGAATATTATGTACATAGACAGGAAACAACTCCATTGATCACCTGCAGAGACGGCATATACTATATACGTGGTTACTAGCGCAGACAATGGTCACCTACACAGACAAAGTGAGTTCCGACAGACGCTGATCGCCGCGCCACGGCATACTGTTTGAGTACTATCGCAAACAATGGTCACCTGCACAGACGGTGTGGCGTACGATTTTAGTTCCGGCAGACACTGGTCGCGGCATCACGGCATATACTGTGTGCGTGCTAGCGCGGACACTGATTGTATTTACCCTGTTATGTTCGACAATGTAACAGTTAATACATTATTGTTCACCCAATTGTCGATTTTCAAACTACTCAACAGCGCCCTCTCAAGTCGAGTCACACTATGTTAGTCATATTGGTAACAGGAGTCTGAGCGCCACCAAACTAAGGAAGGCTTTCATCATTTGCCTGGATATAACAGCATTCCATTAAATGTGCAGTAATTAAAATCGTTGCCATAGAGGGCGAAGTCCTCTGAAGGTCCAAGCATGAGCCAAACCTGATCACCGACTTTCAGTGACAGCATTGCACTCTGGGACTGCATCACCTTCCGGTCGCTGGCGTCGGCTGTCATACCAACCACTGGCTCGTCGTTCAACATCAGCGCAACTCCAAGATGTTTGTGATCGTAGGTACGCATATTGTACGAAAAATAATAAATTCCCTGTGTCGCACAAGTGAAAACACCTTCAGCTTTATCCAGTCCTTTTCCTTTCCTCACCAAGTCTTGATCAAATGTGACTACTTGAGGACCACTTGCGTTGCCTAGTAACGGTGTGGTGCGGATGAGAGAGAATGCGACCTTTTTGCCTTTTGCTGAAATTATGACAGACAAGAGAGTAATTATTTGTTATATGAATTGTACTTGACATATTCGTTGAAGGTCATGGAGATCATTGTGTGGGTGGGTACATTTGATAATAAACAATCAATCCAATAAACGGGTATGGTACGGGCCATCTCTCGTTCACAGATGAACAAACACTCAAAGTGAAAATGTTACCATGGAAACAATAAAGCTTTAATTATATAAAGTCAAATATTTATATAGCGCGGCCACTAATGAAATGGAGAAATCGACGCTGGCTTGTTTAAATAGTATAACGTCAATATAAAAAACTATTCTGAAATTGACATAGTGAAACGTGACTCATGGTGAGACATCGTCTCCATGCCATATGGTTGTTAGGTTCCATTAACAACACCAATTGAAAAGCGCCGAATTATCACCTTTTTCTACCCATGACACCCCCCTCACAAACAGCGTTCAGGGCGCATACATTGTTTTGGAAACGTTTTAGCATTAAAACAAAATAATCTTTTCATTTGGGGGATTGTGTATAAAAAATCGCATATCTTACTAGCACCCATGTGCTCTTTCGAAAAACAATACCATGATTATGATCACGATTCCACGTTCTGCCATGATTGTTTAATTTATTGTTCAGAAACATTGCGTCGAAAATGATAAATAACTAATCTATTTGAACTTACATTTTTTAGTTGTTCCCCTTGTTATTCTTGTAATGCCCATTGGTGTATCGTCTCTGTATACGGCAGATCTACTTTCTCTGATGTGCTCAGCGATTGCTCTCAGAAAAATACCCCTGGGACGAGGATGTTCGCTTGTAACCACTTGCTGCTCTGTTCGGTTATTGTCATCACTCGATGATTGCACAATATCATACCGTACATCAGTGTTGCCCTTTGATGTACTGTCTGTCTTTTCCTCTGTCACGAGTTTCACGAGCGCCTTGCCAATAGTTGCCATGGTTTCTTCCTCCAGCGTTTCTTCTTTTCCTTCTTCACTCTCTAGTGATAATCTTTTTTCAATAAATAAATCGTTTTTGGCAAAACTTTTAATAAGGTCCAGAATGTCGTCTCTACTCACACTGTTTATCCAATCTTCAATTGCTATGTCTCCATTAACAGAGTCAATGGATGCCACACCGGAACTCCTTGGAAACTGCAAAAAACGCTCGCCGCTTATTTCATTTACCTTTTCTTCCATTTTGCCTGCTCTTGTTTTGAGGTTTTCTACATCGGTTGCTATAATGGGAAGGCGTTTAGCCGTGGAGTGCAACTGATCAACTCGTTCGGTCTGGCCTATCACTGTTGCCCGTAGAGCCGCATTGCTCTTAAGCAACTGTTGAAAAGACTGTTCAAGCGCCGAGTATTTCCTTGTGAGGTCGTCAAGTTGTTGAATCAACAAATCAGACTCGTTCCGTCGGCGGTTCTGTCTTCTGTTTAACTTTCTTAAATCAACGCTGTATGTGCTGAGAATACAACCCATACAAATTAAAACGAGAATCCACGACGCTGCTGCCATGTTTCCAAGAACCTTTACAGTGTGATGTGCTGTGATTCGAATCGCTTCTTCAATTGAACTTCTCTAGTTGTCCCGTCGGCTATTTAAAGTTACAAACTGTTTACATTACCGAACGCGTCAACATATAAATGTAAAAATAGGCATCATTTTTTCCCGGATGTCCCGTCATCCCGGGTAGAGCGCCAGAACATGGATGTTTATAGGACAGACTATTTATGGTGCGCAGGCTGGTCGCGTAACGTGATTGAGGTCAGTTTTTTTACATTTGAATGACGTCATAAATACGTTATAGATGAGTTAAGAGTTCTCAGACAGGGGTGACGGAAGATTAACGACGCCTTCTGAAGGCGACATAAACTGAAGGAAGTTCACCAATAAACGGCATTCTGTTTATTTATAATAGTCTTAATTATCTCTTTAATTATAGACCTGGCGACTTAATATAATTAACATAGCAGAATTGGCATCGACACACTGGGAATGGACTCGTCTAATATCACGCTCTTCCAAATGTACTCGTACATTCATCATACGCATCATTATACCCTCTCATTATCACACCAATACGGTTCGCCGTTTGGTCTGTGTTTTCATTGTGAATATTGAATGAATGTGCAACATTCCAGGCATTACACCGGTACGATACAAAACTGGCACCGGTATTAACAAGAAGGAAATATTGAATGTAGGTATTTGTCCATAAGTTCGTGACATACATTCCGCCCATTGTGTGTGTACAACAAAGATGTGGGTTTGCCGCCGGTAATACCGTCAAAAGGGAATTGCTTTCTTAAAAATATTTTCCCCTGGAAACCGTGCCTTCAATAAACATGGGGAGTGTGACACACACGTCTGCACACCTTTCACCGACTCCAGTTTGTCCACCATACCGACAGGCATCCTTTCATGCATCAACGCAGATGAACAAGAAAATGTGGAAATAGTTTGGTAAACTGGTGTGTAACTTGAATGTTCAAATTGTCTACCTATCTTTATGAGAATCAAACCCCTGGATTGTTTGGCGACAATAGCCAATACCCCGCGTTTAGTGTTATCCTGTAGTAGTGTGTACTATGCGGTAGAAAGTAAATTGGCTTATTGGCGAAGAATAGCGAGTTGTGCCGATGATTTCCGAGCCGAGCGCACTCACTTGAATAAAGAGCGGCCAAGCCACAGGGTTTCACATTCGATGATTTGCAAGTAAATTTTATGACGTATTTACACGATGAAACTTGCGTTTTCAAACACGGTTTTACTTTTTTAAGTCGTTAATTTGCGCGCGTGTTGGGTTTATAAATTTGTCATTTCGTAATAGATTTTGACCGCAAGCTAGCTCGTAGTACGAAGATATAAACGTATTATTTTATAATAGCATATATATCACTCAAGGAAAGTTATTGAATTGTAGTCGTATTTACCTGCATTCACTCTCAGGTATATTACGCTAGTTATTATGACAGTCGGATCACAGAAACGCACTGTTCAAAATAACTCCATGTTGTAGCTGTATTACACACATGTTTATGTCAAAATGTAAATACAACAATCTGGAAAACATTACCCCGTAGCAAATTATAATTGAGACGTGCGCACGATGATAAAATCTTTATTGGTTGCGCCTTTACGGCGATCCGGTGACGGTTAGGGAGTATACATAGTTGTCGAGAGCACGCGGCGGAAGTACATTTTAGTTATTAATCTCAGTATCAATAAGTTATACGCCTACACTGCTTGCTTTACTTGCAATGGTTTTAACGTGTTGAATGGCGGCACCACCGCTGACGTGTTGAATAGTGCACCGCCGCTGACAGGAAAGCGGGGGAGAGACAACTTCGCCTTAAATTTAGCATTGTGTGTCAGGCATAATGGCTAGGTCTGGAAGTACCCAGCCTAATTATTGTAAACGTCACAATAATACGTACCCCGTCGTGCATGGATGATTTTCCTACTCAACAATTTAAATTAACAATTGCATACAATTCGAGAAAGTAATTTCTATATGCCAATAAATATTGACAGGTGTGACATACCATATAAGTTAATTTTAAAGGCGGGGTATTAATGCCAATTTTAAAGGCAGGGTATTATCGATGCACTTTATTTGAAGGAAAATTACAGCGACAATAAGAGAACCCTGTGAAATTTGGATGTACGGAAAGAAATATTGAAATTATTATACTATTGAAATTTTATAAATAAAATAGATAGTTTCTTCTCGTGTGTCATCTCTCACCGTGATTATTCAATGGAATCCTCACCTTTAACATACTTACAACGATGAGAACCCACAGCCGTTGTGTAAAATTTATCGCTGACGTAAACTGGGAACTCCAACGCTTACTTTCCTTCTACGTGCATGTTTCAATGTGAACACGTTGCCTAGTATGGAATAACGCATTACATACCAATGTGATGTGACTAGGGAGTTAATCGCACACCATTACAGTAGTTTACGCGCGTTCCGCATGCCGCGGTGATCGGTGGTATGTTCCCTTCCCAAGGGGGTGATCATTGGAGACACAACAAACACCTTCATTCATTCCCTATCTGACAGGGTATCAATCAGTTAAATGTGTGTATGTATGTGTTTAGGATAATGTGTTTTAAAATAAATGTCTAAAGAAATACAACGTCTACTCACAAATATAAGCCTACTTTTGCACCAAGAAGTCCATATTCTATTTATAAACTCAATCCTTCCACGTCCACTTCCAAGGCCGTCTACATAATATTTCCCCATCAGTGTGTACATTCAGATGTGTACACACTGCAACAAAGATGGTGAACTTTTCTTTTAAAATTAAGATTTTGGTGGTTCTTTTACTCTTTTACGCAGTTTTTTAAATGCAGATACGAATATAATTAACAGACTCTTTGCCAAATTGGCACATTCTAGAATTATTCAGGTACGTGAATTGCAAGTTCACCATTAAGCTCATAGAACCAGAATGAAGAGGGGAGTAAGACCAAGGGATGCACTTCTGTGTACGCACACAAAGAAATCACTTTTTGTTTGCCAATTTTTTAAATGATTATCCAAGAACTTTCACCAGATAACTCCTTAAACAACATAGAAGCTGTTAAAAGATGTGTTAGTTGGTATGCGTTGTCATGGGTATATGTGGCATATATGAAGTGATATATATATTCATTATAAAGATTGACCTGGTTCACACTTTGTCCGCGTGCATATTTCAAAAGGATGTTTCTTTCCATCGAATAATTGTGTAATGTAAATTTCATTATCCAGGGGAGGGTTGGGTCATTGGGGATTCGCTCAGCAGAATTGAAACTAAAAATGTAATTTCATTACGATTCGTGGAATCCCGATTTAAGGTCATATTATTAATGACACTCCATTTGAATTTAGCTGGCGTTGTTCTTAGAGGAAACTATTTTCACTCAGTGTCAATAACATAATGGTTATAACATCATTATTGCATTTAATTGTAGCTCTACGGTTACCACACTGTTCTACTTTAAATGTATTAGTAGGCCTCGAACGTCCCAAAGTGTGGAAGAGAATACAAGACCTACCTGTCTTATTAAAGAAAAAAATCTTTGTTGTCATCTGACTTTTTACACGGGAATAATAAAGTTCATTAGTATTATGTGATGTACGATTTTATACTCTTAGAAAGCTATCTTCGTGATGCACAATCAGACAAAGTACTCTATTTTCTTTAACCTCGGAATAACACGTCACCAATTTAGCGCTGGTTTACGAGGTCGCAGTTGACCGACTTCACACTGACGAGACACACAGTAGCATTTGTGTCTCGATCGGACGTAGGAGTTCATTTCCCCCAGAGTAGGGCAATAGTTGTTTTCATCATTTAATATTTAGTTGTCAGAATTGTCCGTAATCAATGTTTAAACGGAACTTACCACATCCATGTTCTGTATTTATAAAGCACAATACGAATGACCTTTTTAATGCTTGCCAAAATGAGCCATATATGCCATTGTCGCAATCACAAAAACACTACTCGGAAGTAACGAGGTACTCTCAGTAAAGTTTTGACATCTGACGAGACTTTTGTGAAAATTACAAAAAGTCGTAAACGAAAACCTGATATTTGAACAAACGCTGTCTTGCATCTCAACATCACGTCTATAAATTGTTTTCTTTGTCAATAACACTACAGGGCGTCTGTTCTGTGTGTTCGTGTGATATACTGTGTCATGATATTTCATGTGTGTCAAGTCAAAGTTACGCACACAAATGATGTACAAATAATTTTCAAATAATTATTTAAGACGTGGAGAGTATTACTATGTCAACTTAGAAAGACTACGTGTGTCATTTTGCAACACGACCTCAGTTATCAAACCCATGATCAAAGAAATTCGTGTCACAATTGTTTCATCATGCTCATACAAGCATATTCGAGGAAGTTGGAATAACCAATAATTCCGAACGATACGCAATGATGGGACGTATGGCAAGATTGATTTTGAATTACTGCCCGAAAATCGGATGTTGTTGAAGTGAACAGACATCGGCTTTACCAAAGATTCACCGATGAACTGACAATCTAACACGAAATCAGCCTATCCGATGTCTTAAAAGTAGTTCACAGCCATGTTAAGATTCATCGAATGGTTCAGTGTTACAACTCGTGCAACCATAGTACAGTGTGAGAAGTTACGTAACCGTATATGGCGCAGTGAGGGTTTACAATTAACGTAACCACATATCATACCGTGTTACACCTTACATAAACACATATGGCACTAT